GTGGCAAGGGCGGGAGGTAAAGCTGCTAGTGCTGCACAGCTGCCTGCCGAAGAAAAATTCAGAGAGGTCTTTATGAACCATTCTGTTTCACAAATGGAGAGCCCTGAGGGCACTTACATTTTGGAAACTACAGGATGATAAAAAGACTGTGGACACGTGACAGGAGTTTAAACCAAGTCCAATTTAACAGTATCTCCGCATTTTGCCAGGGAAGTTACTACTAACTCCATTTCCTCCAGCGTCTCATCTGCGAGGGTCCCACCATCCCTGTGAGCGTAATCTGAAAATACTCCGCACAAACCCATCAATCCCTCTGTTCCCTGTCAGCCATTATTTCCCAGAACAGGCTCCGCTGTATTTACAATCTAACCATTAAACAGGAAAAAAAGCCTATAGAAGGGATGCCGTTTCAGTCCTGTGTGGACTAGGCAATATGTGATACGCATGTTCAGCCAAGCTGACTCGGGTCTCTCGGTGTTCCCCCGAGTACACGAAACCACCACAACTTGGAAGGCTGCTTTTATACCACAGCCAGGATGCTGCACAGAACAGACTTCAACTCCAGCAGTTCCTGAGAGCCCGATCTCCTAATGCATTTGTTGGGATACACTGAGCAGCTACAACTCATGTGCCAGTTTCAGGCAGGAAGTACGTTTCCAGTTACTTGCTCTTTAAACCCAGCAAGAACAGCATCCAATCTTGCCACGTCCTGCAACTCGATCTTCTCCCCCTCTGAAGATGGACTTCCAGGATTCATTCTGGGACAGAGCTAGACTTGATGCAGGTCAATGAGCCAAAATAAACACTTTTTGGACTTGCGCTATGAATTCATTATGGTTTCGGTACCAGGACACCTACCCACTAGTTTTATGACCTGCCAGATGTGCTTTGGCCTTAAAATGATACCAGAATTTACTTAATGTACTTGGAGGCTTAGAAATCCATCCCTGTCTCCTCTGAGCAGTCCTTGGGAGCATATCCCATCCTTACTGAAGATAAAAAGGAGCCATTCCTTCCATATGGCAGGCAGCACAGAACCATTTTCTAGGAGTAGCTGAACTGGACAGCACTGCAAGTAAACTTTGGAAACAAAATCCGAAACCCCCAACCCTTGCCATTTTGTACCTTTTTCTGTTAAGTACCGGATGAAAACTGGAAGCATTCAGTTGAGCAGCGGTATAAACGCCTGCCTTCCAGCCCTTTCTTCCCCCTTTGCACGAGAGGCCACCTATAGACCAAACACTGCAGAGCTCCAAGGTGATGGCTTGGTTGCATAAATATGGGGCAGATTTTAAAGCCAACGCTCACCAAAGGGGCAGCAACCGATGGCACTGGGGGAAAGCCTTAGTTTAACCATCACAGCTGCATGGGAGGACGCTGCAGTGCCGCTCGCCGAACGTCTTCGTTCTCAGTGACAGCCACCTTCCAGCAACAAGTGGCACATCTGCTTTCAAGATGTGCTTTGCCTTTTCCTGACAGCCACCCAGAAAATCAGCCCTTCTCTGAACAGCAGCTCCAGTTGTGACATTTTAATTTGCTCCTTTAGTAGAATGGTTACCACCCCTTCGCAAACATCTTCCTGCCACCCTACTGAATGTGGCTTTTCAGAGAACCAGCTCTGGAGCCACTGAGCCCTGGCCAAGTCCAAGCCTAAGTCTCACTGGGGGTGGTGGGGAGCAGGTTCCATAGAAAGAATTATGTCAAGGCGTTCTATTGTTTTAAGCCCCTAGAGAACGCTCTCTTAGGCCGTATGGTTTCTATCTGG